ACACCTACACTTGGATTTCTCACTCTCGGTTTCCAGACACAAGGGATGTTTGACAGCTGCGAATCGCAGGCTGTGAGGGCTTATTGCCCATCAACTACAGTGTGAAGGTGCAAAGGGAGGAGCGGTGTCATTAACTTTTGTTTGAGGCTGATTTTCAAGGAATATATTTCACGAGGGACGTATAGATGGCTCAACTAAACATGGTATTACACTAGCCTGAAAACAATCTTTTTAGATAGAATCCAGGAAACCTTTACAGGTTGTTCTGTTCTCTTTTTTTTTATATTGTATTTCAAAACTGCGGTGAACTGAAGTCAGCTTTCTGCTTACTGATTCATTACAGGCCCTGAAACTGTGCCATGTAATCAAGATCCGGCCTTCTTTATACAGCAGAAAGGTCAGCTATATCCAAGGACCGCTTTATGTGCCTCACCACAACAGAGGGCATCCCTGTAGACTGAGAAAACGTAGCTGTGTGGTGGGGCATCCAAGGCTCTTCCTTTGTTTTTTTCCTTAGCCAATTAGAGAATGATAGCATCTGCTGTGGAAGAAGAACAATGCCTCGTTTGCTGTGTGTTTTGTGTTTTTCAGTCACAGCTATCGGCGTGTAAATACGCATAAAGTTTGCGTGGGTGTGTCTCCAGGCTAGTTAGTGATACTCTGCGTGTTTCTGTCGCCACAACATATGGAGTGTGTGTGTTGAATAGCAATAATAGATAGGAGCTTTGCACACAGCAGAGGATGAGGAGGCAGGAAGACGACAGACAACATATGGCTTCATCTGCTGTGAGATAACAGGGAGACAAATATAAATTAGGAAGACTTTTTACATTCGTGAGCAAGGCAAATGCAGTGTTTTGGAATTAAAAAGCCACTGCTGCTAAGTGACAGTCTGGCCAATGTCGAATCAATTCGAGCCCTCGTTTCAATGTCCATGGAACTTTCTGACAGGAAGTGCAGCTGCGATTTCACAGTTGTCCATTATGCTCCGTCTAAATGACCCGGGGGCCATTAACCTCTACCTGCTGCTGTTTTTAGATATTCAAAGTTTGATGACTGCTTGTCCCTATCAGAAGAGTGAAACAGCAAAGATACAATGTGTGCACGCCTTTTTTGTGTGTGTGTATCTGTTCAACTGAGCTTGCTAGCACCCCTGTCTTGACCAGCCGGCTTCACCATATGGTCACATTTATCATGTATCTCACTATTCATTAAGATTGCCCTTGCAGGTTGCAGAGACACTGCTTGAAGCCTTAACCTCACCTCTGAAATAGTGCGAATAACTGACCGCAGGTGAAACTACTTCAAAAATACAAGTTTTGTCTTTCATTAGCCTTAAAAGAAAGGTCTAATTTAGATCCCTGTTTCATAAAGCAATCCATCCATTTTTTTTTATATCTGCTTATCAGTAGTGGGTCATGGGGGATGTGCACTGCAAGAGGCAGGGTAAGCCCTGGACAAGTTTCATTTAATTTAGTTATGACTATTATTAGTTTGTTTTATACATTCTTCAGGAGTTCCAACCATTGTTGAGCTACAAGGATCCAATGATGATTAAACTGGACACTTACAAATGTGTTCACTTTAGGCAACTGCAACATTATTGTTGAATTTTGCAATGGCAATATTGGCTGTGACTTACTCATGTTTCCCCCACTGTATTCTTTGTTTTTTCATCATGATGTTGTCCCCCCAAATTCACTGCAAGCTTTACAATCTCACCACAAAAAAAAGGAACCTACGACATTATTACAGATGGTATAGTGGAATCTCAATGTTATTTGAATGGATGGTTCCCTTTGAGACCTTCAAAGCAAATGCTGAAAACATTTTTATTCTTACTTTAGGTTCATCTAAGGCACTCAAAGATACTTCCAGCATTACAGTACATGCTTTAAAGAGCTTTCCAAGACTCAGCTTGTCTGCACTGCTTTATTTTAAGTGTTTCTAATTGTGAGGTGAGGGGAAGCTCCTGAAATGCTGCCACATTTATTAGTAGCATTGGTAAAAATTGGAGGATACAGGGCTTTCCACTCCACTTTGCACAATGTCTCATGATTGTGCAGAGTCCTGTTTTCGCTCCCAGGCTGTCTTCTCTTCAGTTCACCGTTCGAGTAGAATTAGATGAGGATTGTATGTCTGGCATCACCTTGTATACAGACCTATTTAATAAATTAAAATAATATTACAATTTCATTTATTTCAGTAACCTCGTCAGTGAAACACATAATCAATTACAGCTTCCAAGCCTTTGTTCCTGTTAATAATTACAGCTTTGCTATGCCAATAGCATGGATGCAATTTAGATTTCATAAATCCAGAATAATGGGGCTGACATTGGATGTTTTTAAAGTCTTTAATGTTCTAGCAAGATATTGTTTGGCTGTACATTTATATTCAATAAAAAGACTAGAATGAGGCTCATTTGCCAGATTAAAACTACCTTTAAAAAAAATAACCGTTAGACAGGTATTAAAAACAGTTTTGATTAAGCCCACAGACATATAATTTTTGTTGTTGTTGGTATAGTGCAATATTCTAATCTTAAATAATCTTAAAATTGTTTTTAAGATAATTTTATCATCTGTATCTGTACTATCTGTACTTGTAAAGCTTAAAAATTAAAGCGATCATTGTAAATGCGTCAAAATCCTAACACGTTCTGAAATCCTGATATTGACCATATGTGAAAGCCTAAACCTCTGGAAAACTAAAATCCTTGGAGTACTGTTGTGAGTGTAGTTGAGCTTTTCTTGATGATAAATTGCGTGTGTGAGGATCTACACCTTAACCACAACACTACAAGGGTGCATTGTTATTCAAACAGACATTTCATGAATATGAAAAAAAAAAACAACTTTATTAAGTGTAGACAAAAAACACTAAGAAACTGGAAAAGCATCTGTCTACTGATTAAGACCAAGATCAGGCTTGGTCTTAATCTTAGGCCTGTGAGGACTGCAATAAACTGACCTATTTGACAGGTGGCTCTAATGAAAAACAGGGTGAGAGGAATTACTTTAGATAAAAATAGAAACAGATTTAAAATGTTAGATAGTGGCCCTTTTTTGTACTATGTTGAATACAAGTCCTCAAATAATTGTATGGGGTAATTGGTGCATCTTTTAGGAGCTCTGTGAAGCCAGTTGGTGATCAGCACAGCCTTGTTCATTGTCAAAAACATCAAACAGCCAGTATAACTTGACTGCCTTCTGAAGATCACATGCTGTTGCCATTTTTATCTCAGGAAGAAGTCATAGCTTTTCTCTCCCAGTCCGTGAAGCACCCTTGATCTCTCCTCTCTTGCCTGTCTGTCTTCCTCTGTCTCTTCTTGACAGTTTGACAGCGTGATAACAGTGCAGAGACGTCCTCAGTCTTGTGTGGTGATGTCAGCAGGAGTGAGATGTTTGTCTTGGCTCCACTGATTTCTCTCTGTGTGGGTGTGTGTGGCAATCCAGTTATTTATCTTTGAGGCAAGAGATGTGTAATTTGAAATGACTCCAATCTTAGATATATTATTAAATATCATTAACTATTACGTTTGATCCACAGCAACTGGTGAAAAATAATTAAGTTCAGAAAGTAGAAGAAGCATTGAACATGTTAACATTTTATCCCGTTTAAATGTTTCTTTGCCTAACGGAGTTTGTGTATTTCGTGTGTCCTATTCATGGGTGATAGTTGGATGGACAAATAGGATTTTCAATATCAGGAATTCCTTGGTCATCTGCAGTAATGAGGGGATTGCTCTAGTTTTTCAGGGTCACATAAGTTAAGCAAACAAGTGAATCTCTCAATTTAGTGTCTTAACCATAAAGGTGAATAGTACAACTGGCTCTCCATACTGAAATAAGTTATCAGATGTCTAATTAGGATGTAGGATGCCTCATTGGAGCCTCCCTTTGAAGGCCTTCTGGAAGTGAGAAGTCTCACTGAAATATCTAGAATTTGTTGAAGGATCTGTTTATACAAAGACTTTAGGACTCACCCAATTGAGATCCTGTCAACACAGACACAAGAATATGTGTATCCACAAAGATTTATTGTAAAACTGGTCACATCTGAGTATTTTGGTAGTGCTGTTTAATCTGATTTAATTTGTGAAAATTATGTTGTCAAAAATAAATACAGAATTATGTGCCCGCTGAGCAGAAATAAGTAAAACTAAATCACGTAATTCAGACAAAGAAACACACATTTTAAAATCTCAAATGTTTCACTGTATAAAATATTTGTAACAAATACTTACAGTAGTTGAATACAGTGAGTGAACCCTGAGTATTTCAAAGGTTAGGGGGGACGGATTATTTCCAGCAGCTAAAATAAATGGTTCCCCCCGTTTAATTTAGGCAAATAATGAGCAAATGTTTTCAAACTTCCAGGATTTGTTGCTCATCAAGAGAGGTATAAACACAGTTAAAGACTTGCTAGTAAATTAATTTTAATTATTTAATATTAGCAATAAAAAATTATAAATACACACAAACTGTATTTGGCTACTGACTTTTTTTTTAAGGCTTAAATGACAAAAGTAGGAAAAAGACAGATTTTCTTGGCGATTAAAAAACACGAAACAGTGCATGAAGACCTCCAAACAAGACCTCGTTTATTTATTTATTTTACAATTTTGTTATTGCTTATTTTATAAACAAACTGAAAGTTACAACCTTGACATGATTATATGAGTTGTTTTACGGAGAAATCCCGCAGAAGCGCCGTGAAAATGAACGGATCTGGCTGCAGTGCGCACTCCCGACACAGGGGGAGTACAAGACCTCTTTTCTCCAGAGGGTGCCATAAAGTTATTTTCACTGTTCTTAAAAGTTTAGAAGTATTAGTACAGTTTCCTAATATGGAAGATTCTGTACTCATTTAGCTGTACAGAATATTTTTTAGTATAATTTTTTTATACTAAAATTTTTGTTAGTATAAATTTTTTTTAATATTTTTTATTCTAAAAAATTAAATACAACAAATAAATATAATGATACTTCACTTAGCGCCCACCTCCTTGTTTAGCAGTTGGTATGTTCCTACTGCAGAACTACTGCGGTGACGGTGAGTTTTGTAACATGTCAAAACATCCCAAGTTATCAGGTGCAAAGGAATAAAAAGAAATAAAAGAGGGAACACGTGACAAAAACAGAGGTATAGTAAAACTAAGATGATGAAATTACGTGTTATCTTACTTAGCAAAGTTTAGCAGCTAGCCAAACACGTCGTTCTCAACTTCTGACATTGTTTGCTGATTGGCTTGGTCAAAAATCTACTGGAGACAAGCCGAGTCAAGGGAAAGGAGCCAATGGGCAGGTTAGCCGAACATGCAAGCTAAATAAATAGCCTAGCCTTTCATGATTGCTTTCATGCGGGTGTTAACTCAAAAGCCACTTGTTCCTAAACAATTAGACATCATTGTCAACTTAGGATCATTATCCTAAATTCTGTTGAATTTTATTGCTTCGTTAAATTCTGTATTTCACTGTGATAATTTCCGACTTAAATTGCATCTCAGAAAATTGAGTATATACATGTACAGTATAGTGGACATAATACAATTACTATGTTTTTTCCCTTTTATTTCTGAAATCATAGTCCTGTTTTTATCTGCAGATGTGTTACTGAGGTATTTAAATCCCACCTCTGGACCTTTTGCAACACCATCAACACCTGTTGCCACCTCGCAGGAGCTTATTCATCAGAAATGAAGGCTACACCAACAAACAGGTGAACTGATCAGGTAAGAATATTTTCGGTTTTGGTTATCATTTTGTTTCTTAATGAAGAGGAAATTACAAAAATGAAAGTGTTAAGTGGCTGCGCAAGTAAATAGAGTGTCAAAATGGCTAGGGCTAGACCTGACACAGTGGAAAACATCTTGGCACTACCACAGAAACTTTTGTCTATCAACTTCCTTATTTTCACTCTTAGGCATACAGCCAAGCAGTGCCAAGAGAAATAAATGGTGTTGCTGGACTGATTGCTTTGCAAACAGCAACCAATAGCAGGTAAAGTAGCATTGCATAATAGTATTTCAGGCTCCCAAATTGCATTTGCTTTCAAATATTTTAGGTAAGCTCTATGGAAAAAAAAAAAAAAAGAATAATTTGGAGTCATGTTCCACTGAAACATCTGAGAATAGGAATAGGTGATACTGATCTGCGAATAGGCAGATGTCCACTGCACTGCAGATTTTGGAACAGTTCAACATACTTCTATTTTATTTGACCCCTAAATAGCACAATATGCTCAGAAGAGAAAATATAAGATTAGAACTACGAGCTTGTTTACCAAGGTCTCACTGCAGAGACATTTGTGTCTAAGTATTTCATAACAATATTACTCAGAAGTAAAAGGTACAATGTAATAAAACTACTTCTAGAAGTAATTAATTTTCAAAAAGCTACGTATTTAAATGTAACTGAGCAAATGTAACCTGTTACAACCCACTTCTTGTTGCATCATCATATCAAATTTCTTTGCTGCATTGTGATGCCATTAATAAAATAAATGGCTTCACAGGGATGCCTAGTGTTGCGTGGTGTAGTGTAGTGGTAGAGCATGTGCCCCATATTCAGAGGCTATTGGCCTTCAATGCAGCCGTCCCTCCCCAAATTACAATTTGGTCTTTAAAGTGGGGATTGACCACAAGCATACCACCAAATCAATTACAAAGGGGCTTAGGGACAACAGTAAAACAGTGAATACAATGAGAAAGTATTTGTGAGCAAGACAATCTACATTCCAACTGTGTGTTGCACACTTAAGGGATACTTTTAGAAACTGTTTCAGATAAATTGTACGTATGCTCTGTAATCCAAACCGTAGAACAAATGAGAGTAACGTAGCTCGTCATATTAGATTTACTTTTGTTAAGCATGATAAATAATGCTATGAGGGAGCTAATAGGATAAGAACAAATCCAGTCCAAGAAGAGCGTAATGTTACCTGAGCAGGTTTGTGTGACCCGTTGAAATGTTTTTTGTTTTTTTTTCCAGTAAAGTGCATGACATGTGAACTCAGCAGAATAAGAGGATGTGTGTACGGATGACAGAGCTATGACCTTGGCAGTGTGCTAATGAAAGACTTGATCACATATAACCTTTGATCACAAAAGAGGCTGTTGTAACAGTACAGAGGGGAAATCCAGTGAAGCTTACACATCAGCACATATGATAAATTAATCGGTTTTCATTTAGCTGGGTTATGATGGGATTTCCCCAATTCTTGACTTCTATGGACGGAGTTACCCACCAGGACATCCGATGCCTACTGGCACGTGAAGAACGATGTGCTCTTCATAATCTCACAGTGAAAGAATTATTCCTGCACTGCTGGTCTTTGGATTAAGCTTAGTTTCTGAGTTAGACATTACACAAGGGACTCTGACAACATCTTGCAAAAGTGTTCATATAATATTAACTTTTTTGTATCTTATAAAGTTCCTGTATGTGATATACCAACACAAATGAGTGCAAAAAGTAGAAGTAGAAGTAGAAGGAACAAGATGAATGTTTTTCACATTTCTACAAATAAAAACATAAAAAGTGTCTTTTGTCCCCTCCGTTATGTAACTCCTAAATGAACCCTTTTCAACCATTTTGTTTTAGAAATCACTTGGTAAGCAGAGTTTACCTGTGCTACGGTAACTGTGTCCATAGCACAGTTATGGAATGGCTAAATTAAAGCATATCCAGGTGTCATACGCCCAATCAAAGTTCAGACTTTATGTATAAATTAAATCAAGCCAAGACCTAAAAGATTGAGTGCACTGATGCTATTTATTCAGTTTGACAAAGCACAAGCTATTTTGCACAGGAGTTTAGGCATTAGATGTACAAAGCTCAGGGCAATGTACTCTGATACAGAATCTGCAGAAAATTAGTGTTGCATGCTACAAATACTCTGCCTAACTTTTTCTAGGCTTGTCAAATAGAATGAAAACAAAATACGCTGAAGTTTTAGGATGTAACATGATAAAATATGACAATGTACCAGAGCTGTGAATACTTTTGAAATTTAATATATGCTATGATATTAACTAGAACCTAGTCTTTGGTAATAGAGAACATGTGTCAAGCTCAAGGCCCAGGGGCCAAATCCGGCCTGCCGTAGCTATTTACGTGCCTCACTAAACTTTAGACGGCCACATAAATAGAGCCTTCAAGATAATGCTTGTGTGATTAAATGTTATTTTATCAATCAAGTTAAAGCTGCTCTGTCTCTGTACTGCCAAATTACATCATGTTCAGTTATATTATTTAACTCTAGGAAGTACTCAAGTCCAGAGGCAGCTGTTTATTATTATTTCAACAGTTTGTTAATGGGTTTTATCAATACATTCTGCCACAACCTAATCTTCGAGGGCATTTGTTATCTTGATGTGGCCCAAAGTGAAAATGAGTTTGACATCCCTGCTATAACGAATAAAATATCAAACAAACTGGGAACTTATGTGTTCGGCTACCATGGGGAAAAGTTGTGAAAGAATTAAATGGCTATAATTACACAACATCTTTTTTAAAAATTAACACGTTAGCCATTTGCAGCACCTTTGGTGCATTCTGTATACTCTTCCTATTTTATGCCACACAACCATATGTATTGTGTAATATTTTGTTAGATTATAGCTAGGTCCCACTCATTTTGTACACACGCAATGCATAGGCACATTCCCTATGCCAGTTCTGTGTCATTATGTGCCTCAGGCCCATGTTATTGGTGTATGTTTGCTGTTTGTGACTGCAAACAAAGCCAGCTTTAGCTCTGTTGCTTACCCACACACACATAAACACACCGCAGTGTGATGCTATTTTCTATGGTGAGCTAATTGTCCCCGGGGCTCAGTTCTTTCTGCCTCGGATTGCTGTTGGACATTATAGTGCTACATTGTCCCTGGGAAAGCTTTAATGAAGAGTTATGAGGAGCTAGGTGTTTGCTGTGGCAGAAGGTATGAAGGGAGGATATTGGTAGATGGAAGCTGTAAGGAATTAAAAAGAAAGAAGTTTGAGTTTATCTATAGAGGAGATGGAGGAAAGAAGAGATCAGGTGTTAAAACAGAGAGATGGGTGGAAGGAAAGAAATTAGGGGTCAGAACTTTTGTTTATTCAATGAAAAGATGACTAAAGTTCCCTTACTACAATATAATCATATTTGGGATGCGTGCTGGTTCGCCTAACTCGTGGAACTCCCAGAGGATAACATCTGCTTAAATGAGTACTAACATGAGGTATCCCCTTATTATGTGAGTTGGTGTTCAGGATGTTTCACCCTCAGGCTACCTTAAGGCATACCTGCATCCATTAAATCTTTACAGCTCATTCCACTTATTCAGTAGATGTATGTAAAGTGGTTGGATGAAAGAATGTCAAGACCTTTTATAGAGTCTCAGTGATTGCTGTTTTCTATTTTTAGAAGGATAATATCTCATTTTCAGAAAAGGAAATTTAAAGGGTATTTCTGTGAGCTACAATATTACGCAATATCACGTTGCTATGTACGATATTACAACAGTATGAAAGCAGAGAGTATTTACCACAGTAAGCATGGGCCCGTTTCTGGTTTGAAGGTATAGCATGATATGAAAAAGTCACACTTTCAGCATCTTAACAGGCATGCAACAGTTGCACTAACCCTTTATGGCCCAGTTCCACTGAACCAGTAAATGACTGGTTCGTTGGATGGCAGCTACATTAGCTTTCCATTCTATGCCATTGCCCTCGCTTCTCCATTGTTGTAATGCTAGATGGTCCGGTACAGAAGACCGGCCCGGTCTTCTGTACTTTTTCACTCTATTTCGCCTGGCAATATGTAGCATCCATTCGGATTTCCGTCCTCTATCGTCCAGCTGCTGCTGCTATTTAATTGCTTGTATGGCAATGATGAACAATGACACAAGCTCCATTGTTGCATCGCAAAAAAAATTACATCACATACAGATTTCCACATTTTTGATAGGACGATCCCCACCCTCTTTGTTCAGTGTAAACACAACCAGTAGGTCTGTGGCCGACTGTGGCCAGACTGGCCCTGCAGTCTAAAAAGGCCTTTTACTAGTTGGTGCTTGGTTAAGTTTCCTTGCAAAGACCTATTATGTTTACTGCAACTGGAAATGTTTCTGTGCAGCCAAATTATAAGGGATAACCACCAGATATGCATAGTCACCACTTATTTTGAACACTTTCTCCACATAAGCTCTCACATGGCACATATACATCATGTACCACTGTGACACCATTTACATAACTACAAATATTGTATTACTCATTATTAGCATTACCTAATTTCATGCAATACCATAAATGTCCTCTATTTGCAGTGAAACTAACATTGTGTTTGGCTTGCAACTGGAAGTGGAACTGAAGGCATGACCTACTTTATAATTATTTTGGTTAATACTGATCTGACTGCTTGGGGGTCACTCAGAGTAATTACATTTTAATTTTCAGATGACCAGTTAATGTTTTTTTTTTTTTTTTTTTTCATGTAACCTTGATATTGATACACCTGCACCGTTGAGAACAGGAACACAGCAGCATTGCATACAACAAAGATTGGGCAGGACTTGAATCCTTCACGTTTAGACTCAAGTAACACATTGTTTTCAGCACTCTAGCATTTACCTTGACACATAGCAGTTTAACAGAGTGAGGTATTTCATGAAACTAAAATAAATGTTCTTTTTTAAAACTTGCTTGATGACTTCAGGTGTATTGTTTTGAGAAACTCTATCAGCTGCAACCTTTGCAAAAAGAGTCCCCATAGGCAATACATTTTGAATACTTGTGGCGAGGGTAAGGGAAAAAGAGAGAAAAATCATTCCTTTTTCTACTGATTTAAAATATTTGTCAGTGTGAATGACTGAGCTAAGCTTTGTGATTTTAGATGCAGGTGGCCAGGTCAGGCCTTTGGAGGATAGAGAATGCGTATTCTGTCCCCTTTCAGAAGAGAATCCTTTTCTATAACTTCCTCTATTCCATCTGCCTTCACTATCGTCTAAATGTCAGCCAGCCTGAGAGCAAAACATACAAAGATAGAGGGAGATCCAGTGTCCACTGGGAGGAAAGCTGCTGAAAGCATACACGATGACACACTTCTCCCATTCAGTCTGATGAGCTATTGAAAGGCAATATGACATTTGCAATAATACACCCTGTAGTCCCAGAGTTTAGGGATATTAGACAATATTCATAAATTTGTGATGCCTGGCATTTATTGATGTTTGCGGCAACATTTTCCGTCAAATCATTCCCGGTTTCGCTTCTCTTATTTGCCAGGAAATGTAGCGCAGCTTGACAAAGTGTTGAACCACGACACGGATCTGTTGGAAGGAGATATATTACCACATTGTTTAGGTCAAGGAAAGCAAAGAGCCGGGGGGAACGATGTGACAAGATTTATATTGCGACTCCCCTGTAATTATGAAAAATGATCTGACGGGTAATCACGCTCTCTGTGATTGTCGGAGTTATAAAACATCAACAACTGAGTTCAGGCTTCAGCTTCGTGTCCTACTTATGGTGGAAATTCAGCCACATCAGCTCACACACACGCCAGCAAAATCAGTTTTAAATGATGAGAAAAATGATTTAGTTGACACGCTTTCCCTGGAGTGGTTGCTTGAAAACTCCCAAAACTGCATTTTTCACTTAGCGATTAAAGTGTGTATGAGTGTGTGTTTTTCAACAGCTACTTTTTTTTCCAAGCAAGAGCAACCCACATGCTATGTGGAACACTAACAATATGGCAATTTTGGGAAATCAAATTCTCTTTTAGGGAATTGTGTGTGAGATTGTGCTATTATGCTTGTTCCCATCTAACTCTTTCAAGTTTTCACTTTTCACCTTCCTCTGTGTGACATCTTCTTTCTCTCCTTTCTCCGTCAGGAGAGCATGTTGCTTCCTTTTATGTTGCCTAATCGGTGTAAAGTCCTCATGAAGGGTGGCAGATTAGCACCATTTTCATCCAGATAATTTTAACAGCTGCAGCACTGGTGTTGATGCCGTCATCCAAAGCCTCTTGTCTCTCTCGAGAGTCTCAAGCTGTTGTTTGAATTTCTGTTGCTTCATTGCAGCCCAGCTGGAGAAACACTAAGCAGACAGATTTTGCTTGCTCCAACGCTCGTTGGGTTTTCAGGATCCACAATCCAGAAGTTGGAAGTATCGCTGAAATATTGATTGGTCTATTCTGGAAGGTCGACGGGAAGTCTGACAGGGCCACCTGGGTCAAATTTGAATGAAAGTAGGTTGTCAGCAAAAAAAAAAAAAAAAAAAAAAAAAAAAAAAAACTGTACAAGAGGCAGTGGCATTTCTAAAAGAAGACAAAGCAGATGTCACGTTGTTAAAATCATTATGTTATCTTTGAACAAGGTAAATAATCAATTTTTTTCACTTTGATATAATAGTTAATGGCTAAATAGTTGATGCCTACAGTAAAATTGGTAGCAAATCTGTGTATTTTCTGAATTTTAAGAATGCTCACAGTTCATATATGATGT